TTCTAGTTCTCCAGCCAAAACCAGGTTCCGCAAAAAAGTGTCTGATCTAATGCGTCACCAAACTAATAGAATATAAAAATGAGCACGGCTTGTTTTGAATATCAACATCTGCACAGTGTATTCTGTGAAGCACTGGTCCAAACTTGCAGTTTCTTTAACCTAATGCTTGGAAAATACCACATCACAGACCAGGAAGGAGATGTCATGTTGACTCAACCTGAACACTAAACTGTAATTCTTAAACCACAAAAAGGAGGATCGGTCTACCACAAGCTGTGCACTTGACTCTTTGTGGAAGCAGCAACGGTATACTTTTCAAGTTGTCTACCAAGTTCTCTACCTGTAAGTAGAGCATTTTTCTGAGGCATCCCGCCCCTTACCTCATCCTGCTTTGTTCATACATGTGAATTTTAGAGCTCTAGGAAAAAACAAACAAAAACAACTGCCTTTGATATTCACAGCGGCACAGCGGAAATGCTTCCAAATGAGTTTAGCGAACATCCAAACGGCTGAGACAGCACCTCTCTCTTTCTCTCTCTGATAAACCGTTAAAAACTTTGGGCCATTATCCAGCTCGAAACATCCCAATGCTTCTGTCTTGTGTTCGGCAACACAGTCTCATCACTTCTCATTTTGTACTAGTGCAACACAAGCCAGAGGGGGCAATGAGTTTCTGGCAGCAAAGAAGTCAGACCACACTGTGCCCATAATTGGAACCCCCCTGCGAGCCAAGTCAAAATGATTCCCTGGCAGGCAGGACGGCGAAGGACTGGAGCCAGCTCTGGGCCTTCCTGTCATGAGATACAATATCAATCTCGGCTCAATGGAACCACGGTGCTACAAATCTGTGTCAGACCACCAAAAAGGGAAACGAGTCACAAAACGGACTAAATGAGCGACATATATGTCACCAGGTAAGAAACCTTCCTCTTCAATAGAGCAGCACAGATGTGGCTATGAGCAGGATTTCACTTTATTTCTTTTTGACAGCCTAAACTAACAGAGAGTAATAGGGTTTCTTATCCCGGATATAGTTTTACCATCAAGAACTATCCAAAATAAATTGCAGTTGACCTCTAGACCCTGATATGAATGACTGCTCATCTTTCAAGCAGGAGGCCGGTAACCATGGAAAAACATCATTAAAAGGGCTATTGAGCCCTAACAATCCTGCCCCCCCACAGTGAAAGGATCACATCTGACTCGTTTCTTACAAAGTTTCCATAATGCACACACTGGCGTTTCCACAGTCTTCCCACAGTAATCGTCCACACAGACAGGAAACACTCAAAGATTTTTTGCATATAAACTGTTGCTTTAGGTTTTTTTTCGCTGTATGCTGATGATCCCTTTCTTTAAATCGACCCACTCACAAGGATGGCAGTATGTCATGAAACATTCTTGTATGACAGGTCATAGTTAAATGATGTAGGAGGAGGCTGGTGAGGACGAGCGCCCTCCTCCCACACATCAAGCTCACAGGGCCGCAGATAGTGAAAAGTGTCTGAAGCTTCGCAGACACTGCATGTAAGGGTTCTGATCAGAGGTCAAAGGACTTGCCGGTGGGTGGACGCAGCCCTAGCGGAACTTTCTGGGTTACTAAACAGGGTATTAAGGGTTTTTTTTTTGTTATTGTTGTTGTTTTAAGGCACACATTTACAGAGTTTTGTAACACATTACCTCGGCCAATCACTCGTGACCTTATTCAACTTAAAGCCAAAGTGCACCCAACCTATTCGACCCTTTTAAAAATTTACCACAGGTTGCCCCAGTGAGAGACTTGCTGCATCTTGTTAATAGAAAACTTATAATTGACTCTTGAGTTTATCGGTTTTCCTCAGGATTTATGGGCACAGTAGTGAGTCAATAGCAAAGCAGTTTGTTTCATTAGGCTTATTCATTCTCTGACCCATCTCAACCATCTCGCCAACTGTCCGTCAGCAGATTGCTGTGTCTAAAGGAGTGCTACCAGATGGTCCTGACTGCTGTGGCTTTCTGTATGTCCCAGAATGATTTAGAGCGACTGAAAGCACTCCAGTTATATCTCGAGGCTACACTTACAAGCAATACCGAACACATGCGCCTCGGTGGTGAAACGTGCAGCTTCTGGAGTACTAATAAAACCCGGGGTGTAAAGATGGCAACGAGATTGTTCCTTTTAATACGCCTAAGGTCTGTTTGCAGTGTCAGGAAGCCCCACCATATATCTTCTAACTTCTTAGAGCGGTCCCTATCCCAAACATATCACATCCAAACTCCTCACACCTGTGTCGAACTATTTAAAAAATGTCTGAGGTTTGCAATCAGGGCCAGAGAACTAACACAGCACTTTAGTCTCACTAACAAGACACCAACTTAACTCAGATCCCAACCTCGACTGCCAACAAACACACAGTTAACCCTTTGAGAGACATTCAAAATAACAACATTTACGAGAGACAGCATTGTCAGATTTTTTTAACTTGCTGATCGTCCTTGAATTAATCGCCTGTAGCATTCTGTCTGGAAAACTAACCAAATTTAACTGTCAAATCATAATGTTTTATCAAACGAAGGTTATTCTGCACATCTCATTTAAAAACATGCCAAAAATAGAGCGTTTGCACAAGATTCTGATAAAAAAGAAAGAAAGAAAAAAGTCTGCACTCTTTAGCACAACGCAGAAACTATGACTGACTGAGGTGTGACAGTAATTTCCTGACTTTTCAGCTGAACTGCAGACTGTGTTTATAGAATAGTTAGGAGGTAAGTGTGGGGATTTAGAAAATAGAGAGATTGAGAGGAAAATAAAGAGTACTTGAGCAATAAAATATGCAAAATGACTCGAAAACTATACAAAAGGGCAAGTTGTGGAAACATACATTCAGCATGATCACTTTCTAGAGTTGATGCACAGAGTAAGAAACGCCTAGTTTGCAGCAATGATAAAAAAAAATGCAAGTAAAATATCCGCAATATGTAGAGCCACCAATTTTCTAAAAGCCAAACATGTTGATTAAAGTTTGTTAAAGCTTTTTTCCATTTTTGTGAAACGAATAATCAAAGAAATGTTACGATTTATAGCATTATAACTTAATTATACTATGCAAAACCCATTCTTAAGTTCTCTTTACTTCTAGCTCTGGTTGTTCTGTTTCCATAGACATAGAGGACTTTATATTGCATTGAAAAATGAGGTTACAGTGAGGATAAAACTGTTTCAAACAAATACAAATATATTTATGTCGAGATGTGTCACTTAGTCCTGGAACCTGCAACATCTTGTCCACTCATGTCTGTCAATGGAGCGAGCTGTCGGAAAGATAACGAAGCTGTAAAAAGACATAATCTTCAACTAGCGGTGATACAAGAGCGGGGGCAGGGCAGGAACGTAGCAACAGAGAATTGGCTCTAAAGCAGAGCATGCTCACAGGAATAGCTTTTCTCACATAAGATTTAGAGAGATTCTCCCATGAATCAGCACTCATTACTAGCAATAAACAGCTGAGTCATTTCTGTAGTCACCAGCAGCATGCGTTGTTCATATTAGTCTTACAGAACACTCCATAACTATGTCACTAAAAGTTAATCACCCACTACGAAACAACGACAATCTCATTATGCACATCACTCCAGGGAAAAATCCACCTGTTACACCCTAATCCAGCTGTCAGAAATATTTTGTCTAACATGGTTGTACAAATTGGCATTGCACTGAAAACCACTGAGGCAAACATGACGGCTTCCCATGCATGACACCTAATGTGTGCATTCCTGAACAGACAGATGCGCATCACACTGCCTGCAAGCCACTCGCTGTCAAAAGACGCATGCTTAAGTACGTATTTCATGCACAAAATGTTTACTGTTTTTTTGCAAGGTTGTGTTACGATGTTACTACAATCTTTATTCAAGTCGCATTATTTCTCATGGAATCAATCGTAACACCACTGACTGACTGAGGATGCGATATATAGAATAAACAAAACCAACAAATGAATCAGAGCAAAATATGAATGAATCATTTACAAAGAAAGTACGTGTGAGCTGAATTAGTTGTGTGTGTGTGTTTGTGTGTGTTACGACCTTCACAAAGTAAGTCACATGCGATCCAGAGGACAAGGGAAACACACATGCAACAGGTTAAACACAATAAAGTGCTGACACCATGCTGGTTAGGCTGTAGTCAGGACTTCATTTTATCAATTTTTTAAAAAAAATAGGCATGCTTGAATTATAATCTCTCTGATTGTACTGACAGGGATAAATTAATTGGGTGGGTTTTGGGTGAAAACACCAGACAAGGTGGGGAGTAGGGATTTTTTAAAACTGGTTCAAAATATATCCCTAAGCAGGATTCATTTTGAACCAGTGATTACCTTTCTGGTTACTAACTGATAAGCACCGATACCCATCCTCCTCCTCCTCATCGGGCAGAGTGTTGCACTCCACGGGGAGTCGTCCCTCATCCAGGAGCGTCCAGCAACTGTCCCGCAAGACTTCGCAGAAGCTCTGGCAAGGCAACGGCGGTAGCGAGACCAGAGAGCCACACTTTGGTACCAAGAGTAGGCAGAAAAACCACTCCAAGCTATGGTGGCACCTCGACCTCAACAGCCATGCCCACTCGTTCAGGAGAGCTTGGACTTCCTCGACCCTGCTCTGGTTCAGGTAATTGGGCACAACGAACCTTTCCCCAACCATGGAGGAGCAGAAAGGGAGAGCAGTATCTAGCAACAAGCATTGTGGGGATTCAACGTCCAGTGCTGATTTAGCTACTTCTGTGTGGTTTTCACTCGGTGGCTGGCTACCTACAGCTGTCTGACTAAATGAGGTTGCTTGGCTCGGCTCTTGCTCACTTATTGACGGTTGAGTAGCATCTAAGATGTGACCAGTTTGGCTGATCACCACTTTCTGACTAATTACTGATGCTTGACTGGAGACTTCAGGTTGGCCAGTGGTAGCATCAGGCCTCTTGTTATCTATATGTGCTTGAGTAATTAACATTTGTGGGGGGTTAGTTGGTGTTTGTGGTGTAAAAAGTGCGTGGCTGGCTAATGAGGCTTGTTTGGCTGTAACTTCCTGGTTAGCAGTAAATTCACCAGCTGGTAACTGAGTAACTTTCAATTGTTGGCTATCCTTAGACACCTCAGCAGTCTGTGCAGAGTTTTTGCCTATCATTGGGGTTAGTAAATCTCCTGGGTTTTCATGAGAATACTTGGTCAAATTAAAGTCAGTTACATTCCAACTCGAGCTGCTGTTTGTGTTTCCTGCGGTGCTGTCGGGGATTTCTAAAGATTTCATCCCACTAAGATTATGGCCCTCATCTGTTCTGTTGTGAATGATCCAGTCATTCTCTGGAACCTTCAGCTCTTTCGTTTGGGATACTGCACTGCCTCCACTATCTAACCCTGTGTGATCAGAGAGTGTTACTGCTCCTTGTTGGAGCTTCTGTGTTTCAAATCCCCAACTAGTTTCAGTTCCTGGTGGAAATCCTGATTCAGACCCAAGACCAGATCCAGTGTCTGACACCAAATCAGACTCAAGCCCAGATCTAAGTCTTGTCACATTTCCTGTGAACCTTAAATCATCAGATTCTCCAGAACCCATACCCTTTAGTGAATATGTGCCATTACCAGGTTTAATTATGCGTGATGAAATCCCTGCGGTGCCCTTTCCTGGTGCACTCTGCGGTTGTGTTGTAGGAAGAGCAGTCAGCCGAGGAGCTTCAGTAGTCTCATCCCAAGTCTGCACAACCTTATGGATCCCATGTCCTTCATCAATGATCTCTGTTCCAACCCTTGCAATGTTCTCTGATGGTGGTTCTCCACTACCTGCTGGACTGCCAGACCCCTCAGGGTCCACTGTTGGGGCCAAAGTTGTAGTACCAGTCCAGGACCAGAACCAAGCATCAGAGTAGACCACCCACTGGGCCAGCAAAAACAAAACTCCAAACTGGGTCCTCATCATGATGTCAAGTTTTGAACCAAGTCCAGCCGCTCGATCAGGCTCCCAGAGTGAACTATGACATGTCCACACAGCCACTGACTCCACACACACTCTCCTCCAGCTCTGTCTCCACACACACTCCAGTAGGCAGTGAAGAGGAGTGCCCCATTCAAAAGAGTGACGGGGGAGAGCAGGAGGAGGTGTGCTCCGTATTGGCTGCCCTGGCAATATTTATTCCTCTGACTCCTCCTTCCTCCTCCTTCTCCTTTTGTCACAGCAGTGAAAAGCGATCTCTCCTGCTGACTGATACCTTAGAATTACAGCAGCCCTGCTTTTCAGCGTACAATACTGATGCTTTCAGTGTTTTACAGAGAGGGGCAATTTGTTCCCCTTGACTTGTTCTCTTTGTTATAACTTGATAATGAGAAAACTATAGATATGGGCTTAAAATTTTCACGATTTGCTGATTTGACTTTTCAACAAAATGAACTAAATGATGATGAAAGTTTGAAATACGAGGAGCTGTGCTGACATCCCTCTAATGAATTCAATTAGTCTCATACCACGGCAATAACGCAACCAATTATTGAACAAAGGTTCCCATTGTGATGTGTTGATGTGTTTAAATATAATCTGACAACACAGCAGGGAAATGGGAACAAATGTGTCCACGATTTATTACGTATTTATTAAGTATAAACCGAAGAAAAGGCAAACAGGGAAATCTGTTGCATCATCTAAACAGAGACAGTGTCTAATTGAAGGCATTTCCAAATGGAACTTTGTAAGCTCATATCCTCTCACAAGCTTGGACAAACCAAAATACACCATTGTTCCTCCATACATTGTCCTTATTCTGCATGGTGCCACTTATTGTTCAGTTCTGTTTTCAGGGATCTGTGGTTACACAGTAATCCAGGCCCCACTTTCTTGCCCAGACTGGTTTCACAGATGGGATCGGTTGACAGAGACCCTCGACAACTGCTAATGGAAGCTTAGTGATAAAAGAAACAGGAAGGTTTGCCTAAGTGTCTTTCTTATAGTCCAGGGATTTAAGCTAAAGGCAGACGTTTATTGCTTGTAACCTCAGTTGCTGATAGAAAGGAACTCTATAGGGAATCTCTATAAAGCCCACAGAAGCTTATGCACAGATGTAGAAATGTCTTGACACGAGCTTGACAACTTTATCCTCTAATACTCTCCGAGGGCCCAGGGTCTCTAATGCTCCGACTGACCCCTGTCTGAAAGAATAACTTTGTCTGACCTACGAGAAGAGACACATAACAGCATAGATGTAAAGAAAAAAAAAAAAGCCACTACAGGAGCCTGTAACTTATTAACTGTGACCGATTAGAGCTGAATGATTTGCAGAAAATAAGTAATTCTGATTTTTCAGATACTGCCAAATCAAATGTGTTTCTCATTAAAGTAAAGCTTCAAATCATTGTGTAATTTAAAATATGCAAAGGGACCATTGGTGCATTTTAACAACTGTCAAGGAGGATGGCATTTATTTTATAAACTTAGAAAACTTTTTGTGATTTACTTCTAATCATCATTTTTTAATTAGAAATCAAGCAACTGTTCCACCCTATGACTTATTAAAGTAAACATTATACTGTAGGTCACTTTATTTCACGGCCGCGCTGTTTATTACACTTTCCATCCTCATGAAAATGTGAATGAAAGCAAAATATTGTCTTTAGTCATATGAAAGCAGTTTCCTTTTGGGCAAACATGGCTAAGGAACTTGTGATCGACTTTGGCCGGTGACTAATTGTTCCTTAAGCAACAGCAGAGAAAAAAATCATTTGTCAATAAAGTTATTTTTAAAGACAGTTTATTCAAGCATGGGTGATGTTTAGGATCTTTATACTTATGTAGCACAACCGTAAGAGGCTGACTGCAGCATGATCACAGCAGTGTAATTGTACACTGGCTGACCCTTTGGGCAAAGACGAACTTTTAACTCCGAACAACCGCAAAACTGTCAAAAATAGACCATTTAATTACCTTGTGAAAAGAATGATGACTTTTTTGGGGATAATTGTTTTTTTAAAATGAACTGTCACAAATTATCTCAGGAAGAATTCTCTCTAAGGACCAACTTGTCTCAGTGATTTTCAGTCAGTTGTTTTATAGTGTTTATAGCAGGGGCTTGTTTAATAAACTTGTGATCTCATGATGGATAATGATTAGCCCTAAACCCCCCCCTAGTGATGCAGGTTTGGATTTTCACAGCAGTTGCAACATAATGCAAAACCAGACCACTGTAGCTCGAAGAGCAGCAGAGGTTCTGTGGCTGAAAACTAGCCGAGCAACGTTTCAGCTGACGATCACAGACCTGTAGTCTGATTTTATTTCCATAAATATAACTGTCTGCCCCTTCCATCCAGCGTGGGGAGTCCCATCAGCATGATTTGCTCCGTTAACTTTCTGTTCTTTTCCTACACGAGATGCCAAATCCTAGAAGGCTCTGAAAAAGAGAAATAGCCAAAAACAGAAGGTATCCGGAGTGTTATTCGACAAAGATGACAGTGAAGTAGCCTGAGGACGTCCCCCTTATATGACAGTCTAACGCATGTGATTGTAAATTTCCGTACACTTTGAAAGGTGGGAAACTTGCCAAACAGTCATGGGTGGCCAGGTGTATACCCCGTCACCTTGTCATGAGTGTCCTTAGAACTAGGAAGCGCTTTGCTTGTCTGTGGAAAACCTGACAAGACAAAATTGCACTTAATGACGGCAGTAACCTCGCAGCTTTTGCACTGACAGTTTTTTGCAGCACAGGTAATCTCCTGAGATCATGCTATGAGCAAACCTTGAACTTTGTCAAAAAAAAAAACACCCGTCCTCGCTTTTCAACATCCCTTTCATGTCTGCTTCTGCCTGCGTAGGGTTCAAACCGTAAGACGAGAAGACGACACGGCTAGAAGATTTCCTGTTTTTGAGAGTGGAGCAGGTAATTACAGTGAGAATGGCTGAAAAAAAGTTTGCACTGTGTGTTTAAGACAGAAGGGAGACTGAAAAAAGGAATGCATCTCCTCTGCTTTTAATTAGTGACTCAAATTAAACAGTATCTTCCTTTGTCTGAGCCCTTAATGCACGAGAACACAGGCTGTCATGATGCCTTGTGCCAGAGTGTGATTCTAGAGTGTCATGTGCAACGATACGAGTGGATGGTGAAGCACATTTGTTTTATTTTACAAAGGCAACGGTTCCCATTATTAAGACGTCTCTTGTTTAGCTAAAGCATGTCTTTTGAGTTTAAGAACCTCCCTTTAAGCCGGTCACCTGCTGTCAAACTTCTGCCCGCTGACAGAGGACTATAAACTCAGCAGGGAATCCCACTGATTTAAAGGGTCAGTTCACCCACATCGCAAGTGCATATTATTGCTTTGAGCGCTGCTGATGGAATTCCGTCCACTTCCATTGTGTTTGGGTGGTGGCAGAAACAGAAAAGGCAGCAGATATCTCAAAACCTTCTGCACGACTCCGTGTGTTGGTTTTAGATTTTCCATAGCGTGGAAGTTAAATATTGTGAAATCAGACTTTGAAAGACTCAGTTTCAATAGTTTTTGGTTTCTGTATCCTTTCAGAAAAGTGCTGCTGCTATTAATTTATCGTCTCGTAATTTCGTTCTAAGTGCATTTTAAGTTCGTTTAATGTACTGACTGAATGGCATAAAGCAATCTATCTATTACAGGACTGCTATGCAATATTTAGCTTTTCTGCGATATATGTTGCAATATGAAGACCAGTTGACCGGATGATTTGATCGACTGTTTGGAAAGAACTGATGATTCTAGAATAATTTGAGTGATTTTGTAGGGGAGTGCAAAAAATTACAATTATTTTTGAAAAGCTAAAAACACTGTTAAACCATCCAAAACAGTTTTTTTTTTCCCCTCAGAAGTCATTCAGATCAGGCTTTGCATTCGTCATACAGGGCTGTGCGATGCAGATTGAAATGGTCAAACAAATCAGTTGTGCTTCTTTATGTAGCGGGAACAGTTGTGAGACACACCGCTGTAGCTGGTGTAGATGATGTTGCATTTCTTTTGGGACCTTTTCAGTGTTTTTCTCCTGTTCTTCGTTCGTTTTGCTGAGGACATGTGTAGCCTGCATGTCAACAAACTCTGTGTCATTTAAGTTCCTAAAATCTCACTTTATCCAAGAACCCTGAAATCAACGTAACTGATGTTCTTCTCCTGTAGATCATTCATAGAAAATGAGAACTGTGCACATTCCTTCTTCTTATCAAGCTTCAAAAAAAAGCTGTGGCATTAATGTGTTTGAGGTCATTTGTCTTATTTCACGTAGCACTTGTGACTATTGCGCACATTGAAGTGTCGGTGGGATACCGTGCAGCCCCACTGCAAAGAAACCACTCTGTGATATTCCTTCTACATTTCTATAATGTCTACAACCTGTGAAATCCGGAGATGTTTAAGCAGGAGATGGACTGAAATTCCAGGCCTCCCCTGTGTCTGTCCTCACAATGCACAGACAAAAGGATGAAACCTAATACCAGGAATGAGTCTGAAGGCTGAGACCATCAATGGGAGGTGAATGATCGACTAATTACAACACCAACAAAACCTCCTGAACATAATCCACGAGGGGCTGAAGGCGTCCAATTATCTGTCAGTGCGCGGCGGTATTTTATGCCATACCGACTGTCATTCAGAGATCCTGTTACATTTGAAGAGTGCCTGTTCCATCTAGTCTAAATATAGCATTTGTGAATAATTTAAGAATACAGGAGTAGGCAACATAATATTCTACACAACTATGAGGGGTAAAAGTGTGTAAGTAGACCTTAGCAATCAACTTTCCAGCAATCCTAATCATTCTTAATTGCTTTGCACTTAGTAAGAGCTCTACTGCGAGGACACTAGTGTGATTTTTACCTGAAGTGTAACTGCTGCACAAACAGAAAGGAGACACACGTAACAACACGGGACGACGATACAAAAACGTGAGGGCGACTCTCAGAGCGGCTAGAGGGCCTTTTGGCAGAACCCCCACACACACACGCACAAACACACACACACACACATCCACTGATGTTATTTCAGCAAGTGGG